AGCGAGCTCTAAGGCTGAAGCCGACACTGGAGCGAGCTCTGGGGCTGGAGCCGACCGGCTTCTCCTCCTTAGATTCCTCTTTAGGTTTGGGGTGAAAGGCGTGGTCGGCGGGCTTGAGTGAGTAACCGCCGGCGGGCTGGAGAGTGCCGCGGCCGGCGGGCTTGGCTTCGGAACGGCCGACGGGCTGGAGAGTGCCACGGCCGGCGGGCTTGACTGAGGAACGTGGGGCGATGGTAGTTGGCCCCGATCCAGAACAGAGAATTGATGGTGGCGTCATCCAATGCCGTCGCCGCAGCGAGCCCGCAGAATTCCCAGGCGTACTCGAAGAAGGGGAGATCTCTATGGGCTAGAGCAATAAAACGAGTTGGGATTTCCATGGCGCGGGGAGAAACAAACGGGAAAACAGGAGGACACCACAGAGGAGGTGAGAGGAACCTGCAGAAAATCACACATGATGTCTCACGTTTAATTTCTCAGTTATAACTAATGAGAGTAAAATATAAAGTTTTGCTTAGGTTTCCTGCGTGTTTCTCCTGAGAAAAAAAGAACCCATAAATCTCAAACATCTCCTCTATAGTTTCGAACTGTGAACAAAAATGATTGGAATAAAATGTCAGTGATTTCAATATGAGGGTCAGAGACGAGATGTCTCAGTTTGGTGTCCACATCAAATTAAATTTACAAAAGTGATTTTATATACATAGAAAGCATTTTAAATGCAAGGAAAGTGTCTGCTTTAATCTTTCAAATAACTTTTGTGAAAATAAAATGTCAAAATATGGGTCAAATAATGTTCCATCGTCATTCAGTGTAACAGATATATTTATGTAAAAATGAAAAAATACTTATTATGACCTGTACTTATCAAAATATATAAAGTGTACTTTAGACAGGCAAGTACAAGTTGAGTACTAAATTTTATTATAATTTAAATATTTGAAAAGTTTTTGCTGACAAATGGGTAAAAAAAATGGGGTTTAAGGATAGTTGCAAAGATTGGTAAAGATTTCATTAGTTTTTTAATGTCATCTAATGATTCCTGTTCTAAACATGCCTGACAAGATTTTTTTGTAAATGAACTGTTACAACGAATGACATGGTAAATAATGGTAAAAAAAGAGTATGATAGTAGTTTTGCTCAGAAACAGGACACTTTCTAATGTACAGAAAGAAGAAGAAAAATCGAAATACACTCTGATGATTACTAATGACATAATGGCCTTTACAGCGAGCAGCACTTAGGTACCAGATTAGGCCTCCTGAAACATAATGATGATTGAATGATGAAGATGATTTGTTCCTGTTTTTAATGCAGATCTCTCAGGGTCCAGATCCGCAGCCCTTACCCATATACCCGCAGTTAGAAGAGGATCGATCCAAATCTGCACCCACATCACCATGTGACCAGGGTAAACACACACTCGGAGCTCTGCAGATTTTGTGTTATACACAGCTTTATGTGGCAGACATTTGATTACCACATAAAATTATTTTGGCTTGTCCTTAAAGGGATAGTCAAACCAAAAATGAAAATTCTGTCATTTACTCATGTCATTCTAAACCTGTAAGACTGACTTTCTTCTGCGAAATATAATAGAAGATGAATAATGTTGGGTAGAACTCAGATTTGGGTCCCAATGACTTCCATTTAATTTTTTGTCCATACAATGGAAGCGCAGTTAGAAGAGGATCGATCCAAATCTGCACCCACATCACCATGTGACCAGGGTAAACACACACTCGGAGCTCTGCAGATTTTGTGTTATACACAGCTTTATGTGGCAGACATTTGATTACCACATAAAATTATTTTGGCTTGTCCTTAAAGGGATAGTCAAACCAAAAAGGAAAATTCTGTCATTTACTCACCCTCATGTCATTCTAAAGCTGTAAGACTGACTTTCTTCTGCGAAATATAATAGAAGATGAATAATGTTGGGTAGAACTCAGATTTGGTTCCCAATGACTTCCATTGAATTTTTTGTCCATACAATGGAAGCCAGTGGTTAACTATCTGGTTACCAAAATACTTCAAAATATCTGCTTTTGTGTTCAGCAGCAGAAACAAACCCATACAGGTTTAGAACAACATGAGGGTGAGTAAATGATGACAGCATTATTGATTTTGGTATGCCTTTAATTTTATAATGCATTTAAAATGGAAGTCTATGAGGACTTTGTACCAAAATGTGAAGCTTGTATTTTGCCATGCAAAGGCTTTGTGTGACAAACAAACTGAATTTTCATTGTTGTCAATTAAATCAGCTAGCTAATGATCTAAACCAGCCATATATGTTTAAAAGCTACTGCTTTTATTATTCTTTTATGGTGCTTTATTATCATTTTTATTCATAAACCCATACAGGTTTAGAACAACATGAGGGTGAGTAAATGATGACAGCATTATTGATTTTGGTATGCCTTTAATTTTATAATGCATTTAAAATGGAAGTCTATGAGGACTTTGTACCAAAATGTGAAGCTTGTATTTTGCCATGCAAAGGCTTTGTGTGACAAACAAACTGAATTTTCATTGTTGCCAATGAAATCAGCTAGCTAATGGTCTAAACCAGCCATATATGTTTAAAAGCTACTGCTTTTATTATTCTTTTATGGTGCTTTATTATCATTTTATTGTCAGTTTTATTCATTATATGGAAATGAACGGCTAGGATATTTGGTAAAAATTCAACTAGTTCAATGCATAAAAAACATCACATGAGTTTGACAACCAGTGCTTTACAAATATGTGATTTCTGATATTCATCACATGACTATATAACTTTAGACAGGCAAGGTTAGAAAGTAGTTTTATCACACTAGTCAGTGGCTATACACTACAATTCATCAGTAAGATTATTTGGTTTTAAGTCTCTTATGCTTACCAATGCTGCATTAATGTGATCAAAAACACAGCAATATTGTGAACTATTATTACAGTTTTAAGTAAGTGTTGTCTATTTGAATATATTTTAAAATATAATTTTTTCCTGTGATGTAAAGCTGTATTTTCAGCATCATTACTCCAGTCTTCAGTGTCACATGATCCTTCAGAAATCATTCTGATATGATTATTTGCTGCTCAAGAAACGTATCATAATGTCATCAAATTTAAAAACAGCTGTGCTGTGTAAATATAATTTAGTGTAAATATTCTTTGATGAGTAGAAAGTTCAAAATAACAGCATTTATTTGAAATAGAAATCTTTTGCAATATTACCAATGTCTTTTCTGTCACTTTTGATCAGTGCAATGCATCCTTGCTGAATAAAAGCATAAACAAATTCTACAGTATCACACTTTCAAAACTGGAAACACACTTTTATTGTACATGCATTACAGTAAACGTTTGTTTGTTTTTAGAACTGAAGGAGGAGACAATGTGGGGTCTGAAAGTGTGTGATGCGATTTGGCTTTTTGTTTCGTGATCTGCAGATATAAAGGACCTGGAGAACTTCAGAAAGGCACTTTCGTTTGACCATCGCGGTGAGGAGCTGAAGCCAGCCTCGTCCTCCTCTCTGTCCGAGGAGACGCGGGAGGCCAGAGAGAACAGAGAGGTGAAGACGCTCCAGACCAAAAGGATGATGCTGGAAGACTTCTCCTTCATCAAAGTGCTCGGGAAAGGCAGCTTCGGCAAGGTGGAGCTTTGTGATATTCTGTCCTCTATTTTTAGGATTAAGTGTCAGCTTTGTTTCCTGTCAGCGGTGTAACTATACTATAGTAGTTTGGTTTGTAATAAAGGCTCAGTTGTTTTGTGTTCAGGTGTTGCTGGCAGAGTTAAGAGGCACTGATGAGGTTTATGCGGTGAAAGTGTTGAAGAAAGACGTGATCCTGCAGGACGATGACGTGGACTGCACTATGACTGAGAAACGCATTCTAGCGCTGGCCAGAAAACACCCTTACCTGACCCAACTCTACTGCTGCTTTCAGACCAAGGTAAGAGACAGCGTTTCAGCTCATCCTCATTACAAACTCTAAAATAACGAGCAAAATGGACAATGAACCAGTCAGTCACCAAGATATTATGTTTCTTTAGAAATGATGTTTTGCAGACTGCCACTAGATGGAGCTGTAATATTACATGCTGTCAGGTATTCAGAAAGCAACTCTTGATTTGTTCCACTTTTAGAGATCCGACAGCAGTTTAGCTCTTTATCTGAAGAGGGCAAGTTTGTGACTGGGGGAATAGCCACAAAAATAGGTCCATTCATCAAGAATATGGACATATTTTAGTCATTTAGGCTTTAATGTTTAAATTTCGATAGTCAGGTTTCCAGTCAACAAGGCTTTTAATTAAAATGAAAACCAGCCATTAAAACATAAATAGGTTCTTATATTGAAAAGAAATTAATACAATAAACCAAAAGTAAACTTTTAAAATTAGTTGCCATAGTTTTGTGCCTCGAAATGTAAATAAAATATGAATAAAAAAATATGTATGTGGGTCAAAGACGTTAAGATGTCCGCATCAAAATAAATTTACTAAAGTGATTTTATGTCCATAGAAAGCACATTAAATGTAAGTAAAGTGTCTACTTTTAAGGTTTCAAATAAGCTTTGGGAGAATAAAATGTCAAAATTTGGTTGAAATAATGTTACATTGTCATTCAGTGTAACACAATATTTATGTAAAAATTCAAACAACATGCTTATTCTGACGTGTACATATTAAAATATATAAAAGAATAAGGGAGCATATACAATTTTATTGTGTTTTAAATTAGTAAAAAATTCTTACTGACAAATGGGCAAAAGCTAGGATAGTGGCAAATTTTAAAAATGTCAAATTACAGCTAATTAGTATTTGGGGTGAAAGTAATTAGTCTTTTAATATGTCATAAATTGATTTTTGTTGTAAATATGCCTGACAATATTGGGGGGGTTATGCTTAACCCTTTAAGCATAAAAACAATTACACTTATTGTTTTATGCTTAAATGGTTAGTTCACCCAAAAATGAAAATTCCAACTGAAATGTTCCTAAGTCCAGAAACGTAGCAAGGAGATCTGTAAAATAATCCATGTGGCATCAGGGGTTCATCCGCAATTATACGAAGCTATGAGAATACTTTTTGTCACGCGGATATGTTGTTTTCATTCAAATCAAAGCACAAACAACGTAGGAAACAGATCCAGTGTTGTGCCCATTTTCTACCCCCTGCCAAATTATTACCCCTCTCGTATTACCCCTGTTGCTGTCTATGCAGGGTCAGACAGCTCTCAGATTCCATCAAAAATATCTTAATTTGTGTTCCGAAGATGAACGAAGGTCTCACGGGTTTGAAACGACATGAGGGTGAGTAATTAATGACAGAATTTTCATTTTTGGGTGAACTATCCCTTTAAACCCTTTTTAGTCTTTGACCCATGTATTGATGCACTTCCATTTCTTCTTGTTATTATAAGATATTTTAAAAAGCACTTTAACCTACATGTTTTTTTTAATTCCCTAAAATAACTGACATTAACCAAGAAAAAAAAAAGAAAAGAAAAAAAAACAAGATCAAATACACTAAAAAACTTTAATATAATCATTAAAATGTCAAACAGTAATTCAATAAATATAAATATTTTGGATAGACAGGTTTCCAGCTATCAAGGCTTTTAAAGGTGACATATCATGAAAATCTGACGTTTCCAGGTTTTAAGTGCTATAATCGGTCCCCGGTGCATCTACCAACCAAGGAAACGTGAAAAAGATTAACCCAGTAACTTTGTTTTGGTAAGCTTTTTTCTGCAAGCGTCTGAGAAAACGAGCGCGTCTGATTTCGCTCCCTTGGTGACGTGGCAAAGGGATCTCATTATAATATTACCGCCCCTTAATCTGTAAGTTTCCACCCACAGCGCTGTTATTGTGTTTTTGCAAGCGACAACGGTGTACCAACTCTAATGCCATGGCGAAAGTTCACGCAAAACATGAGTCCCAGCATCAGAGGAGACAACAGAGCAGTGGATTTTTAATAAAAATAAAACCCAGCCATAAAAACAGAAATAGGTTCCTATATTGAAATGAGAATAATACAGTAAACCTAAAATAAACTGCTAAATTTTTTCCTTGAAATTTAAATAAAGTATGAATAAAATTAATTCATAATTATTGATGCACTTCCATTTATTGTTAACAGAAGATCTATAAAAAGCACTTTAACCTACATGTACTTTGTTTTTCTTAAATTACCTCAAATAAAAAAGGTCAAATACAAAATAAAAACTTTAATAAATAAAAACTAAATAAATATAAATATAAAATAATTAATTTACCAAATAAAGCCAGACTAATTAAATAAAAGCATACAGATAAAAGTAATACATCCCAAAACTAAAAATCTGTAATAATAAGAATATTTAATTTTATTATTATTATTTATTATTATTATAATTATTATTGTGTAACCCTTTTTAAAAATTAAGTTATGTAATTTTAATGAATATAATAGAAACATGTTGGTCTTATTAAGAGCTGAGCTCTATTTTCCTTATTTTAAAATTATTTTCAGGTCTGGAAAAGTCATGAAAATTTCTATACTGACAGATACATTTATACAATTATGATCAGCTCTGAAAATTGTTCTTTGTGAATGTGTTCTGTATACAATGATGATTTTTACAAATATTTATCCAATATCAGTCTCAGTCAGATTACTATAGGTGGTAAATGGATTATTTATTGCACTGACTTGTCATAATTCTGAATGTTCTTATTCATTCCGCAAACTGCTACTGGATCAGGCGAACCCTGCAGCTGATCACACACACACACACACACACATTGTCTGTACTTCTGTGTGTAGTGTTCCCTGACACAGAAGGGCAAGCACCTGTTTGAAGGGAACATTTCTTTTATGGTCTATAATAAGCCCATCAGATAAACACTCCACATTAGGTCACCGTTCTAATTCTTGTTCAGTCTCTCTCGGTCTGCTGGTGTGATAATTGTTTTAGGTAGAGCCATCTGTTTGAGAATAGCACTTGCAGCCAGGCCTAACCTCACATGAACATCATGTTTATTTTCCTCCACTAAAACCTGAAGTCAGCCATCATGACGGCATCCTCTAATTTATTTACTTCTGCAGTTTCCCCAAACAAGCAAAAAGAACATTGTGTCCTTTACTGCGAACATGAGTGGGAGGAGGTGGGGAAGAGGAGAGGAATGAGCGCGGGGAGGAGGAAAAGGCCGAGTGTAGGATGAAAGAAGGTAGAAGATGACCTCTGAAAGCCCTTAGAGGCGATAGTATTGATGAGCTTTAACTCAAAGTCACCGTTATTTAATCACTTCTGCTGCATTTATAGGGCGAGTAGAGTGATGACAGATGGGGGAATGAGATCGGGAAATGCATGTGCTGGATAGGTTTATTATAGTTAACTAAAACTGAAACTAAAATTAAAAGGGGACCTATTATGCCAAAATCACTTTTATATTGTTTTTGAACATAATTCTGTGTCCGCAGTGTGTACACAACCACCCTATTGTGGTAAAAACCCATCCACTCAGTTTGTTATTTTCCCCATGAATCAGAAACGGTGTCTCAAAATGAGCCGTTCAGGAATGTACTTCAGTGTGATGTCACATTGGAACAGGCCCCGCCCACGACTGGTAACGACAGCCTTATTAGCTTAGCTCCTCCCCTGAGTGAGCTCTACACAGTCCGCCATGTTTACCTCCTCACTAGACCCTTTAAAATCAGCATTTAAGTAAGAAATGTATTCTTATAAAGCTACTAATTCATATAATATGAATTGATTCATATTAACAGCATAGACAGCAGTAGGTACTGAACATTACGCTGCTGTCACACAGATCTAATATACACATGCGATTTCTTTCCGAGCTGTTTACATTCACAGACATAACCCACTGTGTTTATGTGAATTTTGTGTGCTTTTGACATAACCTTGTGTGTATTTGACAGTTTAAGCGCAATGAGATGCGAAAGAGAACTTAATTTAGTACTCACGTGATGCACTGTCTGACAACCAGATCTCTGTGTGCATGCTTTGTATTTGCATTTAAAGATACACGCACGAAAACAGCACATTTTTGCTTCTGTTAAAAAAAAATTGTCATTTTTAGCATGGTATAATAAATGATCTGTGGGGTATTTTGAGCTGAAACTTCACAGACACATTCTAGGGACAATTGAGACTTATATTACATCTTGTGAAAAGGGGCATAATAGGTGCCCTTTAAAACTATTTAAATACATTTTCATTACTTGAAATAAAATAAACATTAACTGAAATAAAATATGAAAAACTTTTTTTATCTCAGCTACTTGCCAAGGCAAAATTTCTTATTTTAATTTAGTTTAACTTTGATGTACTAAAAGAACTAAAACTAAAACTGAAATAAAAAATAATAATAAAAAAATATAAATAGACATATATAAAAAAAAAGATTTAAAAAAATGACAAAAACACCCAACAAAATCACTAAAACTTTTTAACTAATTTAAAATGAAAAACAAAAATATAAAAATAAAAACTGACTCAAAATGTAAAAAAATCCGTTTGACATCCGTTTCCATTGATGTATGGTTTGTTAGAATAGGACAATATTTGGCCGAGATACAACTATTTGAAAATCTGGAAACTGAGAGTGCAAAAAAAATCAAAATATTCAGAAAATCACCTTTAAAGTTGTCCAAATGAAGTCCTTAGCAATGCATATTACTAATAATAATACGTTTTTGATATATTTACAGTAGGAAATGCACAAAATATCTTCATTGAACAGGACCTTTACTTAATATCCTAATGATTTTTGGCATAAAAGAAAAATCGATCATTTTGACCCATACAATGTATTTTTGGCTATTGCTACAAATATACATGTGCTACTTATAACTGGTTTTGTGCTCCAGGCCAGGGTCACAAATATCATTGGACAGACCAATGGCAATTAATAGAAACTGGGGCTAAATGTGACACTTCTTACGC